TAGATGGCTGCTTGTTTAACTTCAACCCTTAAGACCCCAGATGCTATGTCTCTTGATAGCCGGGCACTATCAGCATTTTTCACCACATTTGCTTATGTACCCATTTTGTCTTCAGTGATTGTGTCAGGAGGGTGAGCATCACAGAATGCCGGATTGTTAGAACAAAGTGTTCTTGCGTTGAGGCAGGGCTTGAGCAGAGGCTCAAAATCCATCCACTACCTCAGTGTTTTGCCATTAAAATATATGTACAGAGGCTGATACCTCTATTTTCTTGAATTAATGTATTTACGTATGTATACACCTATGTTTATACCTCTATCCATAGCTTTGCTTCCTAGATGTTTCCTCTGTTTGCCTGGAAATGATTTAAGAGAGAATGCAAAGAGAGAGATGGAGGCTCAGAGTATAAAGAACTAGCATAGTAGAGATAATAAATTAACCTTCATTAAATGCAAAGAGCCAAGTAAAGTGATATTTTATAACTGTTATGATTTAATTTTTATAACAACCCTTTAGTTATGCCTGTTTCACACTGAGCAGCTTAAGAGTTGTGTAAGGAGTCCAAGTACTATGGACATCAACTCTTGGCCAAGGTCACTCGCTCTTGCTGGGTCTCAGTCTTAAAATGTGTAAAATACACACTAAATTAGACCTTTGCCTTTTGAGAAGTCCTTCATTGTCAGTTCCTGTACATAGCTCCGGACCTTTGCTTCCTTCCACTTTCTAAGACGAGGCTGCGGGCCTCCACAGTGAGGCACCTTGGCTGAGGAATGGAACTGCCTGAGTTTGAGTGGCAGCCTCGCGGGCTCTTGACTTTAAATAAGTTATTTAACACCCCAAGCACTCCTTAGCTTCTTAACCTCTAAAACTGGGATCATATTCCACCCCCTTTGTTCTTTGCAGATCTTCAAGGTTAAAGACAACTTTACGGACTCCCTTTGTAGAGTGATGGCGTTGGAGAAGATCAGAGGCATTGACACCCTGGGGATAGGGAGGGATATTGTGAGAGGGAGCAAGCAGATTTTCACAGGCAGCACTCAGTTCGTAGGATTGCCATTCAGCTCAGTGCTTCTCCTAATGCAGCATTGAATTCAGAGAGAGGTGATTTCTCTCCCAGTTGTACTTTCTTCTTAATACAGGAAAGTGAAA